GCCAAGAGTGATCCAATGGCTACAGCTGTATTTTATTTCAAAAGTGAGCCAGGCTTGCGCTGGCCATTGCTGCCTTTATTTACCTCACACACAAGCACTGTGTACACAAGCCTTCAATTAGGTGTGGGCTTTGACTGAACGCCAAAGCATTACTATGGGGAAAATATGGATCTTCACTTTGCTCTTAGCATAGGTCCAAAAACACACACCCTGGCAACTCTGATGGCATGTACACAGGAATGGCAATGCCAGCTCTGACCCAGTCATCTCACCAAGCCTTGCAATGAAATTACTAGGATGTGAGGGGAAAAACCAGTCATGCTGGCACTGTTTGAGAACAGCCTATGTCTGCACGCAGCCAGGTACTAGAGGACACAGAGGTGTATGAGCAAAGGAATCCCAGAAGGGCAATGCAGACTAGGACACGTGAAACAAAGGGCTGGTATCAAACAGCAGATCTGAGGACACTCCACAGTCTCGAGTGGCTATTGCCCACAGGAGGGGATTTTTCATTTTCTCTGATGTGTGACATTTGCTCCCTGCTGTTTTGGTTTTGAGACAATCTAGAACTCTGAGATTATAAATACGGAGCTGAAATTCCACATGTAAAGATTTAAAGGGGGAGAGGGGAGACTGCACTCATTCCTATTAGGTCTATCTCTGCTACGGTCTGAGGGCTGACAGTGGGACTCCTTCCTGGAGATTTCAAGTCCTTCAGTTTCCGAGGAAAGATCCCAGGCACTGCACTCAGTGCACTCAATGATAGGGAGGAATTGTCTGCTGAAATGCAAAACTACCTGAACTAGCCTTCCTAGATCCTCATGGAAAAGGCAGGAGTGGTAAAGACAACTCACCCAAGGGCTGATATCTAAAATACCTCAGATGAAAGTCCTGTTTCTCTCCTGCAGGGAACCAGTAACCCAATCTACTGCAAGTACCTGCATTGTAAAGTTAGGCAAGAGGAATTTCAGTCTTTGCGACCAGCTGGGCTCACACACCATTTTCTGGGTCATCACCCGCAGAAATGACTCAAAGTTTATCTTCCCTGACCCATTCTCATCAACTTCAGAGATAATTCTCTTCATCTCCGCTTTTCTGAGTTCACAGCCCAGAGCTCTCATCGTTAGCTGCCAAATGAGAAAGCAGACCAACGTCACTGTACAAGTCAAAAAGAAACAAAGCAGAAAAGACGTTTGAAGCAAATAGGTGCACGTAAAGAGGGGTGGGGATGGGAAGGGGGAGGAACAACTTTTTGGCTCCGTGGAAAGATAACAGGACAAACAGCCTGCCTACAGTGCAGACAACAGAGCAGCCTTCTGAGTCTGCAGTGAAACTGGGCCTGTGCCAGAAGGCTGCACATGTTCATGAAGCCAACTTGGTGACAAACCTGATTAAGAAATTTCAAATCCCACAGCCCCATTCCAGGTGCTCATTTTTGCCCATATATTGCAGCTTATCAACACAAGCACTTACTTATCAGGCCAAACAGAAAAAGGAGTTGCTGAAATCAGACGACTGAAAACAACCATCCTTGGAATGTGAAGGTCTTTTAGAGAAGACCTTTTAGAGATCCAGGATGTGATTTTTCAAGGCACAGTCTCTGACACACTACTTGCTTGCTGCTCTTCACCATTCCCATCAGCTCCTTATTGCTCCCCTGCCAATTAGCACTGCATTCCTCCATCTCAACAGTGCCAGGAAATGACTGTATATTTGCATATGTGTACATATTTTTGTAATATCAAATTTATTTTTAACCCAGATCACTTTTCCCACGCAATTTCCTCCATGTTTCTGCAATTAGCTAGGACAATTGCACATACAGTTGAGACAGCAACAAATGGAAGGGCAAGAACTGTGCTAACCAGCTTGTCTCCCAGCATCTCCACACAGACAGGCTGGCTCAACTCTCCCTTATAAGTGAATGGGAAGGAATTGTGTGCAAAATATCCGAGCAGCAGGAGAGGAAAGGGCTGTACAAAACACAGAACAAGCCATTCATCCTCCATTTTGTCCCTAAAGAACAGTGTTCTGTAGCTGTCTGATGTCAGCAGTACAAGGTTGTGGAAAACTGGGAAGGAAGATCCGCGGGCAAGTGCCAAGGAGAAGGAAGGCTTCAGTCCTTCATAAGGAAACCTGGCTAAAACACTGACACCATTCTTGCATGATTGCTGGCTGTAAAACAAGCCAGAGTTCTAGCAGCAACGCCTGACAGCTCGGCAAGTGATCCAAAAGCAATAAGTAGCAAACACTAATTGCTCTGTAACAGCTCCACAACAGGTGGAGCTTGTAAATTATTAAGCTTATTTGTGCTTGTGAATGATTAACCTTACTTGCAACATTTCTGTTTACTGTCACCTTTGTTTGACTACAAGTAATTCTGGTTCTGAGAGCACTTGCGATCACTTGCTTGGCTCCCTGTCAGCTCTCCGGGCCGGGGATCCAAGCCCAAACATCCCCTGGGAGCTGCAGCCCTTCAGCTACACAAGGCACGTGCCGTTGTAAAAGCCGTTGATGCGGGGCTGCTAGAAAGCTTCGCTTGCACATCTACAGAAAGTGATTGCTGTGCAAAGGAAGAAAGCAGAGGAGACTCCTGAGCAGCAGAGGGGAACGGGCAGCTTCAGCCGCCCCGGCGTGCCTCCCTGCAGGGAGGGGCTGCTAAACCGCGCAGCCTTCGCTCCGCTCCCCGTGCTTCCATTTCACCAGTGAACACGCTGCATTTTCGCGGCTTCCTGCCTTCAGGTCCTTGACGTCCATCAGGCCGGAGCCGTCGGGGTCGAACGCGTCAAAGGCCTCTCGCAGCTGCTGCCTCTGCTCAGCACTGACCGGGAACGAGGGAGCCGGCTCCTTCCGCGGAGCCTTCGGGCCGCCAGCAGCCTGCAGCAGAGAGACCCGAGATCCTCGGACCAGCAGCAGCCCCTCCTGGGGACCGCACACAGGACCGGCGGATCCCACCAGCTCACCATCCCGCCGCCGGCAGCGCCCAGCCTCCCGGCGCTATGGCAACCGCGCTGCCGTTGGCCATCACACCTGCCTGTCAGTTAAAGCGTGCGAGCTGATTGGGCGAGGCGCAGAGCGGGCGGGGGCTGGTGCCGCGGCTCCGTCACGCCGCCTTCTACCCGCCCGCCGGTGTCCGCGCTGCGGGATCGCCAGGCTTCCAGCGGGAGGGGTGCGGCGCTTCCAGAACAGCACCAGGACTGGGGCACGGCACCAGGCTCGTCCCGAGGGAGGGAGCGAGTCGCTGTTGTGAAGGATGCAGCTTTGCGCTGGAGAAAATGAGCGTTGCGTGGTTTCGTGTGGTTTGTTTTCAACCGTGGCTCTATCCTGGAGGTTTGCTCCCAGAGAAAAGAGCACAGAATCCTTTCTAATTGGCAGCAAATAATTCGAAATAAGCCCACGCTGTCCTGTATTTAAATTTGGACGGGTGGCTCCTCTGCCTGGACAGCGTAAGTCTGAAGTGCATCATTTCTGACAAAGAATGACCCGCGTTGTGCATCTCTGCAGGAGGACCATCAGCAAGGAACTGTATACTGCACTGCGGTTTTTAGGTTAAAAAAATGAAGTTTAAGATTAAAAGTCAGATTTCCGCACGGCAGGATTAAACAAAACCGTGAATCACTGCAGCAGCAATAGAAGGTCACCCGAGAATGGAGTGGAGTGGATAAAAGACTGGAAACTGTACAGAAACCGACAAACTTGCTAATAAATTGAGCTCGTTTGATGAATAAGCCGAGCTTTTGACGTTTTTGCCGTTTTCCTGTGCGTCTTCTCCTTCGCCACACGGGGGCACAAGAGACTGCAACAATCTGCTCCCTTCTGACACATTGCTGCTATCAATCAGTTTTCAAAGGCAGAAAAAAAGTCTGAAAGGAATTCTACGTAATACAGGCCGAGTTCAATGATTGTTATCTTTCATGTCTAGTTTAGTTTTCGATTTTTCCCCATGTTTATGAATTGTTCGAGTGAATTGAATGGTCAGCAAAGAGAAAAAGGCAGATACTGTCAAAAGCAAAGGAATTGTTTGAATTGAGGAGCCTGGAAGATATTAAAATTTCTGCAGAGGAAGAATTCATTCTTCTCTCATCTGAGAGTGAGGAGGGAGGATGTTCACTGCTGGAACAAATAGAAGTAGCGGAAGGACTGGGGTGCTTGTTTCCTTCCAACACAAAGCAGAAGCCATCCTTCCCTTCTGCTCTCACCTCAGACAGATGCACTTCAAAGACAGAATATAGCCTAGTTTTGTGTCTCCAGCCAAGCATTTCGTAACTAGAGCCCTTCTGGAGATTTCAAGTCTCCACTTTGAAGTACCCATAGGAATCCTTTTTATTATTTGCCCAAAGATCAGACAGTGCTGTCCCAGTGGAGATGTGTTTTTGTATACTTCTTTCCACAACTCTGATGGTTTAAAATAAGACATTTTATTTGAAGTACAATCTTATATTTGAAACCACTGAATATTCCTGCAAATGTATATATCACCAGCACTGCTAATTTTCTCTTTCTGCAACGAGATTCCTTTAAATGTGTGAACTGAATAGCAGGAGGTTAAGTTGCAGTAGTCCATTTACTTACTTTTTCAGTTTTAAGAACATAATAAAAAAGGGAGAGGGAATAATCACCATAAGACAGCGTAAAAAAAGCTGATCCCCACAGATATGTCATATAAAGAATTCACTGTAACTGAGCCCAAGTCAAGGCATTAAACTAGAAGCTTCAACTGCTGGGAAATACAAGTTTACACTTTCATATTTTGAGTTCTTTCTTTTCCAAACCATAATGATCTGACATGTCTTACAGTCAGATAAGGATCTGAATACTGTTACTGAAAAATGTAATGTCTGTCTTGAAAACGAACAGTACAAACACCTTACAAGTGCAAACAAGCAACCACGTTGCTACATGTAAGCAGGTTAAGTTGGTAACTGTTCACAAACACAAGTTTCAGATCATTTGCTTAAAAGAAAGCACTGACCTAACTGTTCTGGTCTCTTTATAGAAATAAAAAGCTGGAAAAAAGTGAGGCACCTACCAGACATACACACACATGTGCAAACAAATACAATAAAATTCAGTTTCAGTAAAGGCTGGTCTTCTTCATGATCCGCAAGAATTCCTGCTCGTTCACTTCCCCATCCCCATCTCTATCTGCTTCATCAATCATTTCCTGAAAGATATTTGTGTTCAGAAATGAGATGCAGATTAGAGTAGAATCAGAATGATTAGATTAATTCAGAATTAGAATCACTCTAATAAATAGCATTGGACAGGACAGTGTTGGCTCAAAGTCAGACCTAACATGCTTCGAGGTATTTTTTAAACCAGGCAACGTGTTTAAATATGTTTTACAAAACTATGTGTAGGGCATGTCCTTTTAAAGGAGCTATCCTGGAAGAAATGGAGTGCTTGGAGCAGTTGTTCCTTTCCCATCCCTGTAATTCCACAGAGAGTGACAGTTACTGTGACACAATTTAACCACGTATGCTTAACCCATCTTTGGCCTTAGAACCTATTTCTGAATTGACAGCACTTTTCCGTTTCTTTAGGGAAAGAGCTTAAATTAAGCATTACAGCTTAATAGCAAAGATCCCATGGGATGCTAGAGGACAGCATCTGAAAATCATAGTGACCCCTGAAGTGGCTTCCTTCCCCAGTGAGAAACAGATTCCCACTCTTTATTCTTGATAGTTAGAGAGAGACTTCAGCTCCCCAAACAGGAGGAGAATGAGATTGTGGCTGTTTACATGGATTTAAAACTAAACATGAAACCAACTAATACACAAACATTCTGTGACTGTCTTTCAATTCAGTGAAGAAAGCATAACCTGGATCTTTCAATCCACAAAGGCTGATAATAAATGTTTGTGCATCACATGACATAGGGGAACTGCTGGGTCACAGCTCGAACTGGTAATTGAGCATCTGGTGAAGGGGTGAAGGGGTGAGTCTGGCCCAGGGAGCACAGGCAAATTGTTTACACCTGTGCTCTACACATGGCCAGAAGGGGTGGACCCACGGTGGAGCCTCCCTGGGCTCATATAAGAGCCAGCCACAGAAGGGAGAAATCTCTTAGGTGTGGGCTGCTTGCTGAGAAGAAGTGCTGCATAGCTAGAGAGTCCCTTCATCAGCTGGGTAAGCTTGCCCTTTTTTTCCTTCTGTATACAGTCATTGGTGTACCTACTAATACTTTGCTTAGCATCACTCAGAACCTGTTAGAAGTGATGTTGTTCCTTTGTGAGGGGAACGCATGGTTGCTTACACCAGGTACAAACCTGCAGCTCTTCATCTGTAAGATTTTCACCCAGTTCTTTGGCTACACGTTTGAGGTTTTTGAAAGAGATTTTGCCAGTTTCATCATCATCAAAGAGCTTAAAAGCTTTGAGAATCTCCTCTTTGGAATCTTTATCAGCCTTAAGTTTAAGGAGAAAAGCATTAGTTATACTACATATAATACTCAAAAATTGCAATTATAGCATACAAGAATTAGAAAGACTAAGAAAGTCTCATAACTTTAAACATACACACACTGCCACAAACATACACACAAAAGCTGAAGGTAGAAAGACACAGTAATGCTGCTTGAACCTCAGGGCTTCAAGTTCTTTTCTTTCACATCCTGTTAGACAACTTCAGGATTTCAGTGTCAGGATCCTTCACTGTTAAATACTTGGTTTTACCCAATATTTTCTAGGACTTTTAAAAGCAGAAATCTCATCTGTAAATATCTTTTGTCCATGTAATGTATCAATGCTCCTGACAGAGTTCTGCATGCTTGAGTTGTCTTTTATCTGTGATAAAAGTTCTGGTTCCCTTGTCATATGTGCATAAAACTGATTGTTAAAGAAGCTTATTAATGACATTTCAACCATAATATTCAAGTAAATGAGTGAACTGGCCTATGACCAGGTAAGATTTAACTTACTTGTTTAGCATTAAGAGTGAACTATAAATGAACACTTAAAAAAGCCATAATATGACAGAACTTAATGTTAGTAACTAAATTTGATGAAGCTTTAAAATAGGGAGAAGGGGGAAGCGTGTGGTCTGTCTGCGCTTTTTCCCATCTAAAACCAAGAGGAGGTGAAAGTGACTCATCCATTTTCAGAATTTCTTCTTCTTTGACTTCTAAAGCTTACATACCATTTTCTGGGTCATCACTGCCAAGAAGTCATTGAAACTGATTTTTCCTGTTCCTTCCTTATCGATATCTGATATCATTTTCTTGATTTCTTCTTTCTTAGGTTCAAACCCTAGTGCTCTCATGGCCACCTGTAAGGCCAAAAGAAATTAGTCATACAAAACTATAGCAGGAAAAATATCTCTTAATGACAAACACAGTTAAACTTTGTGCCATACCACAGTAGATCATGTTCTCAAGGAGAGCAGCAAGGTCAAGGAGCTCTCTTAAAGCAATGTTTTTCATTGTATGAGGGCATGTTGGGATGCAGAAAACAGGCAGCCAGTTGTATTCTTCTAGACATCCTTCCTTCCTTTTCTTTAATTCCAGAGTTTCCTAAACACATTGAACCACTGTGGCAACACCCTCTTGTGACAACTGGCAGGGAGATGGAAATAAGCTTGGGTAAAAAGATTTCTCAAAAGAAATCTGGATTAAGTCCTAGCATACCTGTTTGGTACATAACAGTTTAATTTCTATGGTGGGGATTCAGAATAAAAGTATTCTGTTTTCATTTTTTTTTAAACAAAAAAAACCCACGAACAATATTACCATGTAGTGCTGTAGTGATTTCCAGTGCTGCTAGAAGACAATACAGCTGCTTTCCTGTGAGGAGAATTGCTACTAACCCTCTCTTTCACATGACAAATGTGACACTGAGTAACAATTCAAAAAGCTCACTTCATGCTCTTGTGTAAGCGAAGTGGCAACTGTAAGACTTAGAAATGTCTTTGAAGGAAGGTTTAAAAAAAAAAAAATAATTAACCATGCTTTAATACAAGTGACTCCATGCAAGAAGCTTCTGTCATACTTGCTACTCAATTGAACTCCTTGCAGACTTTAATCTGACAGCACAAAGATGGAAGCTCTTAAGCTTGCAAACCGCAGGGAACTTCAGGTTTTTTCATTTTTGTGAGAAAGCCTTAATGAATGTACAGGAACACTTTGCATGGTTTCAAATGCTCCGAGCACCTGAAAGTAGTAAAAGTTACAGCTAGAGGGCGATGTGCTTATTGACAGCAAGGGTTTCACTCCAGAAAACACATCTGCAGGTCCGTTCCTGTGTCAGGCCGTGCTTTCAGCAACAGGAAGCCTCACCTTCAGCTCCTTAACATCAATGTTCCCGGTGCCATCTGTGTCAAACAGGTCGAAGGCCTCCCGGATCTCCTGCTTCTGCTCTTCAGTCAGCTCCGGCTTGGGACTCGATTTCTTCCTCTGGGACGCTGCTCCCAGCGAGGGCTTCTTGAAGCTGGAGGCCTTGGCATAGCAACACAAGAGCAAACGGGCATCAGACCGCCCCGGGAAGAGCGGGAAAGTCCTGCGGAACGGCGGCCCCCTCAGCTCGCCCCGGGGCCCCTACAGGCTGACAGGGGCGGCCCCGCGACCCCGTTGCCGGGAGGGCGGAGCCGCCGGACCGCACTCACCATCCCGGCGGCCGCTGCCTCGGGGCGGCTCCAGTTCAGTCAGGCCGGTGCTCAATACTACCTTCCCCCATTGGCTGATGCTGCCACGCCGCTGCCATGGTAACCATCTCTCTGATTGGTGGAGAGACTAAGGCGGGAGGAGCTGAAAAGGTGGCTATTGGTCAGCAAGTGGTTGGGGCGGATCCAAGAGGCAACGGGACCTCTCTGCCTTTCGTCAACGCGGTTGGCCGAAATGAGAAGGGCGAGCGGCCAATCAGCGAGCGGTAGCTGCCTGGCGCGATGCTCGGCCCAGGGCTCGAGGGAGGGGATGAGGAGAGCTGTTGTGCGGTGGGCGGGGCTTTGCGAAAGAACGCGCGCTGATTGGTGGAAGGGGAGAAGGGGCGGAGTCGGACGATTGCTGTGAGGGGAGCTGAGGAGGGGGCGAGGGCGGCGCGGTGAGGTGAGGAGGAATCGCGGTGCGAGGTGCGGGAAGAGCCGCGGAAGGGGCAGCTGAGGGTTGTGAGGGAGGGTGGAGTCGTATGGAGGCGAGATTGAGGGGAATCTCTGGGATGGGGGTGAAGGAACTGAAGGGAAATCGGAGGCAAAGCGGCTCCTCAGCGGCGGTGAGCGACGGGACCTGTCTTGAGGAAGGGGCGGGAGGGGCAGCTGGGGGTCAGAGCTCGTGCCTGTTTTTCCCAGCCCGCGTGGTGTTCCTGGCTGGGCGGGCACCAGTCCTGCTTTCTTGTTTTCCTCGTCACCTCGGAGATACCTTTTCAGATAACAAAAAAAAAAAACCCAACCAGCCGCGTGGCTTCTTAAGTGAGCTAATTCAACAGAGCTGTTCTCATAGAGCTGTAGGACGGCTTGGGTTGGAGGGAACCTTAATCATCGACTTCCAAACCCTTCCCACGGACAGGGATGCCAGCAGTTCAGGCTGCCCAGGGCCCATCCGACTTGGCTGTGTGCCCCTCTAGGGATGGGGCACCCACAGCTGCTTGTTTTCCCGCTGGCTCTGCTCGCAGGTGTGGTACTGCGATGGCAGCACTGCTGTTGCTCTTCCTGAGTCGGTCAGGTGAGGTGGGTCAGGGCATGCTGAGCAACCCGGGTGGGAAATGATTAACCCAACATCCACGTTAGTGTACAGGCAGTAGGAGGCAGTGTGAGCCACCGGCTGAGTGAGGAGCACGGAGTCAGCCTCTATAGCAGCGGCTACCATACTGATTTTTCTTTAAAAGTGACTGTAAAACCGTCAGAAATCTTTGTGTAGCTCACTTCTATGATGGAAGCAGATCTGCATAAGTATGTTATCTTTTTCTGCTTTTCTATGACCTCAGCCGATATTGGAGTTTTGTTTGCTATCACAGGGATAAGGATGAGTTTCAAAGAAACTGGTGCCATCAGCAGTCTGTAAGGCAAGAACTTGGCAAATCTCAGCTCTCTTTGCAGGCGTTTGTTCCTTGGTGTGTGAGCATGATGCTTCACTTCCGTTTTGCTAATCCAAACACCCTCCAGCAATTCTATTTCTGAAGAGGGAACTGCCAAAAAAAAGAGTCGTTTGTGGTTTTGGAGTATAAATGTTTGGGTTTAAAGGAAGTGCATGAAGTTAATGCTAGCCAAATAAAAGGATGCCTTTGATATCAGGTGTATTTGATTTTAGTGGAGTTATGCCTTTGGGAAAGCTGTTTGATGTCAGTGTTAGCCATGTGTTACTTGTCTAGTTCAACAGGGCCTGGAGATTTAATTCACTTATTAATATTTTTGCTTTAGTGTAATGGCTTTGCCTCAATTCTGTTAACTAGAAATTTGTTTTTAAAAAGTTACGCTTGTGTTAATGACATGCTTAAGATGGCTGTTGCATTGTGAATAAAATTATTCTCCCTTTTTTTTAAAGGAATTAGGTTAATACTAAAACAGCTGAGAAATGGCCACACGCTTCAGATCGGTGAGTTGAGGACTTCCACCTTGCTGTGTGAAGATTTGCCTGATGGGAAGGTGTTTTCGTAGATAAGTCTTCTGTAACCAGGTGAAATGAGGCTGCTTCTGCATTAAGGCCTGCTCCAAAGCTATTGCTGGTGGAAAAGTGATTTACTGAGGAATGTATTTGCTGCCATTACATTCCAGAGAGACCCAAGTGATACTTCAACTCCCTAAAAACCTCAGGGACTTCCGCAGGGCTGCCAAATGAATTGGAAGGAGATCTTGCATGTCAGAATCATTCTGATGTATCTTAACTGTCCTGTGTTCTCATGCAGATGAGGGCCTGGATGAGGTCCCTGTGGTCAACCAGACTGTTGTAACCTCATTCTACCATTATTACACCGACTGCAGGAAGTTTTAATATACAGGGAATAACATTTTGCTTCCCTTAGAGGGCAGTTTGGGTGCTACATCAGAAGTATAGTTTGATAAGCTGTTCTGTTAAGTTGCCTGTGATTCTTTTTTATAGGCAAATTTCTACATTCTGGACCGTATTCTCACTTTTTCTTCTAAGATGCAAGTAAAACCAATTAATCTCAAATATTTAGGAAACAAACAGAAACATATCTAACAAAAAAAATAACTGTAGCATTGTGTTAGAGTGCATGAACAGCCTGTTGTATCTTTGTGGTGCAATGTTAATTAGGTATCACATAGATATTACCTTAGGAAATGAGCTCATGTGTAGCCTGACTTTCTGCCAACCTTTTCTAAAAGGCCAAAGAGTTCAGGAGCAGCACTGCGAGCTGCAGTTATGCTGATTCTGGTTACTGAGTTGGTTCTCTTACCCCTTTCCCAAAAGGTGCGTGTATTGCAGGTTATAAATATGCTCTAAGGTTTATTTAATAAATCTCATAATCAATAAGAATGCTGTTCTGCTTGGGAAGCAAGGATGTGTTCATATAGAAAAGCCTGGATTGCATCAACTGGTGGGAGAAAACTGTGATGCTGCTGCTTCACCAGACAGAGGGCGTCATTCTGCCATTATTTAAAACTTTGATTGAGTGCTGTGTGCAGTTTTGGTGTGTTGATTTCACAAAGAAGATGCTGGAATGAGAAGAGATACAAGCAAGAGCAAGCTAAGGACATTGATGAAAAGGAGCAACTGCCTTTTGAGGAGGAACTGAACAGACAGAGGGGACTGCAGAGGGGAAGGGTTCATGAAATCAGGAGGTGGATGAGCAAAGCAAATGCAGACAAATGTAGTGGGGTAGTGCAAGCAGCTGGGACTCCTTGAAAGTCCTTGGACTCAATTAGGCTTCCTTTATCATCTTTGGTTTTGATGACTGTAGGAGAAGAATCCAGTACCAGATATACAGTTGGTCCAACCCAGTGGAACTTGTATTTATTTTTTTAATGCTTTTAAGCAGTCTCTGCTTTGCATGCAGAGTTCCAAGTAGCTGGCTATGTCTTACTTAGCTGCTCAGTTTCACTAAGCTTCTCTTATGTCTACTGTGGATAACTGACACTTTTGCAGTTGAATCTTTGTTGAACAGTGTAGTGCTTGGAAACTTCCAAACAACTGTTGTCTTTGTGTGGTTTCACTGGGTTAAAATTTCTTCCAGAAAAACTGCCAAGGTAGGTCTTTGCGTAACAACAAAAAGGAGCAAATCTATTTCCACCAAAAACAGAACCGTCTTTGTACAGAAACTTCCTCAATCATTGCTTAAATGTTCTGTGATGTCAGCAGAGTCATTCCAGTGACCAGACCAGAATCTGTTAATTAGTGACTTCAGCTACTGAATTAAAAAGCATTTAAAATAAATGAAGAACTAATGACTAAATGAGGAGGATAAGCTTTGCCTTTACCTGATTGCTTTCTTGGTTTGGAGGAGCCTGAGTTCCTCATGCTTTGAAAATGGCTTCGTCCTTCCTAGCTGTGATGTTACTGTTTTGTTACCTGTGTTGTGTGGCTGGAGTTCTGTGTGCTTTACATTAGGGTGCTGCTGTACATCTGTTTGCTGTCATGCTTTTTTTCTCCCTGTCTTTGCAGGCTGGTAAGAAATGTACAGTGATCGGTGGCTCCGGATTCTTAGGCCGGCACATGGTAGAGAAGCTGCTGGACAAGGGTTACTCAGTCAATGTGTTTGATATTCAGAAGGGATTTGACAATGACAGAGTGCAGTTTTTCCTGGGAGACCTTTGCAACAAAGAGGTACAGACAACTGAAAATTGTGTAGATGGGAAGGATGCTGTTTGTACTGGTGTCCTTACAAACATACAAGCAAGCCTTATTTGAAACATTAAGTGGCCTGAAGGCATCTGAAAGAGTACCTGTGTGCATCTCCCAGTGAAGCTGGTAGCCTCATCTAGAGCACTTAAATATACTCAGTGTCTGCTTAAAGTGGAAAGGAACAGAACTTGTTTCTGGATTACAGTTTGCTTTACTGTTAGCTCAGATAGACAGCCTAATTACTGCCACTATTAGTAATTGCATGTAGGCACTCTCCTTGCTAACCTCCACTGCAAGAGAATGGCAGAATGCATTATTCCACACAGTTAAGATGCAGTAAGAGGCTTTGCCTTAAGTCATGCATGTGAGCCCTGGCATAAGCATTTGTATGCAATGTGGAGAGAGGTCTCTGTGCCAGCATGAAGTATCATGTCTCAGACTGCAAGGCAGTCACCTCAAAGACAGACAGTGCCATGGGTGCTGTTGGCTGTTAAATGTATTGCATGCAGATTTTTCAACTCCTCTCCCCCACTAATTTTGAGTCTCATGCCTGCACTTGAGGTTAAAGGTATGTGGTTAAACTTTGATAGCCTCCGGGTCTCAGAAAGTTCCCAGGCTCTTGTCTGGAAAGAAAAGATGGTGTGGTGTTTTTTTTTTTTTTTTTTTTTTTTTCTTCTTTCCTAACAAGGGATGCTGTGAGGACCAGTAAGGCTGAATCCTATTCCAGCTGCTCGCCATTATGGAAGGAACTTGGCTTGAAATTAAGCAGTTTTGTTTTCATAAGAAAAAGAACTGTGCTTTTTTTTTTTTTTTTCTTGAGTAGTCACTGTTGCTGTTGTTTCATTGCTATCTTGAGCAACATATCTTCTTCTTAGGCCTTACTCCCAGCTTTACAAGATGTTTCAGTAGCATTTCATTGTGCATCGCCAGCACCTTCAAGTGACAACAGGGAGTTATTTTATAAGGTGAATTTTATGGGAACCAAAGCAGTCATTGAAGCCTGCAAAGAAGCTGGAGTGCAGGTAAGGATAGAAAAGTTTGTGAAGCATGCAAGTTGTTCATGTGAATTTGTGACTTCTGAACCATAGAGCAGTTTCAGTCTGGTTTGGTAGACTCTGATGTATTGAATTACATATTGAATTCCTACTTGAAGTTAATTGTAGGAGAGCAAGACTCTGTCCTTAGCATCTGATATAAGCTTAGTCTGTATTTGTCCCAATGCATTGCAATTTCCCTTAGTGTAGGAAGTGTATCCATTAAAATTTGTTTTATCAGACATTTGGGGAATCCCTTAAGGGAGAACTGGCAAGTGGATTCTTTCATGCCTTAATGAGGGGGCAGCTCTAAAGGTAGCTTTTCCTGCAGTGGAATTATTCATGGCATCTATTACTTATGTGAATTCACTGACATCTAATGAAAAGGAGCACATTTGTGGTACAGTCTTAGTATAAATTGGTTTAGAAAGTTATTTACACACAAATGAAAGAAGAAACCAGGCTGCTCAAGGCAAACTTTTTATCTTACTATGTTATGGTATCACAGGTTTTTAGTCAAACTCGTACCACGTTGTCAAGCACAATGTCTGAGAAGTTCCCTTACTCTGGGCAGAGATGCTGCATCCAGAACGTTTTGTACATTGTCCATTCACAAATACAGACCTGATGATGTTTAGAATTCAATAATATATAGCACTCCTGGCCCACCGTGGTTTGGCTTGTTTATTTTTCTAATTTTTGCTCCCCCTCTTTGAGTTGTAAGCTGTTGTAGGGAATGGGCTGTGCAGTGTTTACCTTCTGGCTTAGTCTAGATTCTGTCAGAGCAAGAAGCCCTGTTGGAACTTGCTGGATCTAGTTATCTTTCTATTAAAATGTATACCTTGTTTAAAACCACGTGTTTCTGATTATCCAAATGTATCACTGGATTCCTGTTTGGAAACTGAGGGCCCATTTTTAGCCAACAAAAACATCCTGGATAATTCTTTTTTTGTTGTAATCTGGCATGAGATTGTTATCTTAAAGATGAGCAAATACATCTTAAAAGCATTCACTGGATGTTAAATACTAAACTTACTGCTTGTTAAATACTAAAGATGCCCAGCCAAGTAGAGGCTGTGATTTTTTTTCTGAGAGATTTCCCCACTGGCTGGTTACTCTGGAGGCATGAAATATTTTCACTTTCTTCGGGAGGTGGTAAATGATGTTATGGAGTCCCATTAAACAAGTGAAGAGTTTTCTTACCTGGTTTTAGATCATCTTCTGTTAGCCTGTGTTGTTGTAGACACAGTTTATTCTCCATAGATAGATTTGATTATTATTGTCCTTATTAAACTTTCATAAATTACTCTTTTGCCTTAAGCTTTAAACTGCAGTTTTCTTTCACGTGCATTGCAGAAATTGGTGTTGACTAGCAGTGCCAGTGTTGTTTTTGAGGGGACAGACATAAAAAATGGAACAGAAGACCTCCCTTATGCAAAAAGACCTATCGACTATTACACGGAGACAAAGATCCTACAGGAGAAGGTATTCATCACCAGCTGGTTAACACTATCATTTTCCATACTAAAAAGTGCCTTTTTAGACATAATCCTCTTATGTGAGTGTTAGCCTTTAAGAATTTTTCTAATGTTATTTGAAAAGAGCTTGGTTAAAAACAGTGTAAAAACACCTGTTCATTCACAAGCATAACCACTTTGCTGTAAAATGGACTAATGATGTGGAAGCTTGTGAGTAACAGAGCTAGCCCAATATTCTTCTGATTACATCTTTATTTTGGGCGAATGGGTGAAAGTAGTCAGTATTTATCTGCATGTGGTGTTCTTGAACAGCTGTGGAAAATCAGTAGAACACTTTGTTTGGAAACTCCAAGTAAAATGAAATCTATGTAGCACTTGGTGCTCTCAGGAAAAAGGGATCACACTCCTAACTGCCATCAGCAGGGCCCATGATAAAAGTTTTCCGTTAACTGATGAGAAAAATTAGAACCTTCAGTGCCCTTCTTCTCTAGCATCTGGAAAATTTATCTGGACTTCATAGGGTTCAATGAGAGTTCCTTCCCTTTGCCTGTCAATTCATTAAGCGTTCAGTAATGAAAAAGGATTTCTCTCTTTCTCATTAAAGAGAAGGAGATGAAAAAAGAGGAAGGGTCATATGTAAAGGTATGGATGGATAGTGATTCTTCCCAAGATGATGAGTGAATACCCTGTCTGCTCTAATGTTGCTGTTGGGTTATGTTACTAAGCTGTATTTTTCCTAACTTCTCTTTCCTTACAGGAAGTGCTGAGTGCAAATGACCCAGACAACAACTTCTTCACTACTGCTATTCGCCCACATGGAATATTTGGCCCTAGAGACCCTCAGCTGGTTCCCATCCTCATCCAAACAGCTAAGAGTGGCAAAATGAAGTTCATAATTGGGTGAGCAAGGCTTAGTCACTTTTTAGCTTCTGTTAAACTGTTTTGGAAGGGGGTAGCACTAAGTCAGAAGTGGTGTTGTTGCATGGAATGATCTTCTGATATAAGAATAGGATAATTTGTGATAATATGCAAATCAGGACCCTTGTCCTGAAGTGTTCAATGTCAGAGAAGGCAGGATTTAACCTTCTGCACTGGCAGTATCTTTTTTGGCAAGTGCAACATATTTCTGGGAGGAAAAAAATGTAAGTTTCTGTAACTTTTCACCTGTGATTCAGGATTCTTCTTCCATAGCCCTCTTGTGCTAGGGATTCATGCACTCAGATGAGAAAGGGTTCTTGCAAGAAGTGCATCAGTGGGAAAAGCAAGCATAGCTTACATTTTGTTGCACAGTCTAAAGGCTTTTCTTCTTAATCGGAGTGCTCAGATTGCTTTCTGTTAACTAATACATACTGGTGTTTGAAGATGTTGTGTGTATGACAGTATTCTTTGATCTTAGTGTCATGAGTATTAGATGCTTGCCTTGCTGTTAAGCCCTGCACAGCTTCCAGTGGACCACTGAAATAGCTCATGCTGCTCCTAAGGAGTTCAAGTTTGTATTACAATCTTGAAAAGAAATGTGCTCTTTAATTTATAATAGATTTTTATTGCATGCAGGAAGCTGTTCTGTGTACATACCCATGTGAATGAATGTGCTGAGGATAAGAGAAAGAAAGGGAATGGGGCTGTTTTTCTGTTCTTATTCTTCCTTATAGTTCACTTCTAGACTAATCTCTCAAATTGATCTGCGAATGGCAAGCCTAAATAAACTCGACCTTTTGTCTCCTCTTTGTTCCAGCTCAAACATGCCTTCTTCATTTGAGTTTCCCTACTGCTATAAAGACCTGCATATCCCTTCCAAGAAAGCAAATAGCCATTCATCCACAAAAGTTGAAAGTGAAAAGTATTAATTCTCGGAAAGTTGGATTGCAGCAATGTTGTTTTTGTCCAGATGAGTGTGGTGATGGTTTTGCAACAAACCATTTGTTTGATTTAGTTGGGTTCTTGAAAGTGGTATGCACATCTATTTTCTGTAGCTGTGTAGAATTGGATTTAATGCAGTGGGTTGAAACTCTTTCAACTGTTTTGGACTGAATTTGGCTTACTGAGTAAGTTAAAATTTCATGAGCCAAGAAATTCATAATTGAAAGCTTGTCCTCAAGTGACCTTCTGTGTGCTGCTTACCACTGTTCTGCTTCTGTGGATCACTGTCCTGATTCTGGGATCTGTAGGATCTGCAGCAGTCTTAGATAGGGTACTGTTATGGGGATATAAACTTTCTGGGGGTCTTAACAAGAGTTGAGGTAGTATCTTTTCCTCTGCCTCCAAATGAGGTGCATCTTGTATCAGAGGGCCTGAAGTTGTGACACAACACAGGGAAAAGAGGAATCAGATTGGCCTTCTAGTGTTTAAAGAGAAATGAACTTTATACAGGTGTAGATAGTGACAGGACAAGGCAGAATGGTTTTAAATTAAAGGAGAGAAGATTTAGTTTATATGCCAGGAGAAGTTTTTCACTGAGTGGTGAGGTGCTGGAACAGGTTGATCGGAGGTTGTGGAAGCCCCATCCCTGGAGGTAGGTTGGTAAGGGCCAGGTTGGCTGGGGCCCTGGGCAGCCTGATCTAGTGCTTCATCTAGCAGTTGGCAACCCTGCTTGAGGCAGAAGTGTTGGAGCTTGGTTTGAAGCGATGTCAAGGATCACCCAAGTCATTCTATGAGATATATATATAGATATATATATAGATATATATATATAGATATATGTTGTGTGAAAGTCATTTTGCTACAAGTAGATTTTTCAGCATGGATCCCCTTTGGGCCAACTTCTTCCTTTAATCTGTGCAGGGATGGGAAGAATTTAGTAGATTTTACCTATGTGGAAAATGTGGTCCATGGACATATCCTGGCTGCAGAACACCTTCAGAAAGACTCTCCTGTGTGTGGGAAGGTAAGGAAAATGAACGTGTAAGAAACATAGTTACTTAGCTTTTGTGTAGTAGAGTAGAATAACAGAAATATTAACAGATTTTCATAGCACTGTCATGTTCTGGGTATGCTTTAATGTGTTTGCGTTGTGTTGTCATTCATTTTGACCATTTGTGAGTGTCCTAACCTCTGGAATGTCAGAAGTAGTTGTCTTTCGTAGCAAAGAAGGGATTCACTGCTTTTCAACTGGTGGTAGTTGGTGAAAAGTAGTTTTTAGTGAAAACATGTTTGCAGTTGAGTGAGAGCTGCCAGCCTTGTGGGTATGAACATGAGCTGGGTTGTTTGTACGAGCTACTTTTTTTATCTGACTTTTTGTCTTGTCTTTCAGGCATTTCATATCACAAATGATGAACCAATCCCTTTCTGGGCTTTCATGTCCCGTATCTTGACTGGCTTGAACTACGATGCACCCAAGTACTATATTCCTTACTGGCTGGCATATTACCTGGCCATGTTCTTGTCTCTAGTGTTGTGGCTGTTAAGTCCACTGGTGACCATCAAGCTCACTTTTACCCCCATGCGGGTGGCATTGGCTGGAACATTTCACTACTATAGCTGCGAGCGGGCCAAGAGGGACCTGGGCTACAAGCCAGTGGTGAGCTTGGATGAAGCAATAGACAGGACTCTCCGGAGTTACCCCCACCTACGCCGTGCTAAGGCCTGAGAAGTCCTGGATGGATTTCATTTCTACTTGATTTTCTTAATTGTTTTGACATCTTAACGTGATCACTGAAGCAAATTCCACTAGTTCTGTGAAGCTGAGTTTGCCCGAGTCATTCCTCCTCATCACTATTACCAAAACAAATTTCTCTAGATTGGAAAAAACTTCATGTAGTAGCAGTCTAACAGTTCTTTCTTCTGATGTGATTTGTTGTTCCAAAGCAGCTGCCTAACCCTAAGGAGTACGAATTAACGCCCTGCTGTGTCCTCTTCAGTCCCAGCCCCATGCATCAGCATTCCTTCATCTTTCCTCTCCACCCTTGTCCTGTGTTTTGTTGCTCTGGTGATAACGGCCAGCTCTTACAACTACAGATCCATTGATGAAATACTTGACAACTGATTCCTCTCCGTGGTTTGGCTTTTTCAGTACAAGAGTGATGAAATAGAGACTCACACCAAAAAGAATCTCTGCCACTATTTTTTCTTTTTGAACTGTTGAGATTGACTTTATTATTCTGATGCTGCTTTTAGATTTTACTGTGATTGATGGCTTGACTTGGTCTCTTACTGAGGAATTGGTAGGAATTGAGATGAGAAAAGGCACACTGGGCTTCATGTAAGGAAGCATGAGCCTTTACTTCTACTGGAGCTTGGTTCTATTCGAAAAGAATACAAATAAAATAGGAGAAATTCCAAACTTTGTGTTCCATCTTTGAAAGGGCAGATCCTATTCTGAATGTCTCAGCACAGACTGTTTGAATTATTCCCTTTGTAGGGGGGAGGAGATCTTTGCTGTGGCCATTGTCAGTCAGCACATTTTACTGTAGTTTACTTGCTTCCATAAGAAAATTATATTGATTGGAGGATCTATTGCACAAGGCTCTCATCTTGTCTGCCACATTATTGTTGGTAATGGGTATTGTGTTGCATCGACCCTTCAGAACATGGGAAATTCTTCCATAAGAGAATGATTATAATGCTAGGTTCACTGAACTGTTTACTTTGCCACTTATATTAAGTTTACTTTACTCCACAATCTTGCTAAGAGCTTTGGTAGCTTTTTTTTTTTTGTAAATGAAGAGCTTGTGTTAGGATTGGAACTTCCCAAATCTCCAAACTGTGGGAAGTGTCTCACTGTGTGTTCATAATTGTGCCTAGCTCGGTGAGCCTTGACCTCATCTGGGAGCTCAGTGTGCTGCCAGAGTCCCATAGAAATTAGTGGGTTTTTTTAAGCTTCTGGTTATCTTATGGCTGGTTTTACTCATGTTTTTCGTATTTGCTCTTGAAGTAAATACTCAGTTGCTTTGATCACTTCACACAATTCATATTTGCACTGGTCAAACACATTGGCTATTTTTTTTTCCCAGAACATAGGGGTTAAATGTTTAAAGCTTGAGTTCTAGGATGCAATTCTTAAGCAGAGTTTCTCCCACCACCCTCCCTCCCAACAATGCCAATTGAAAGAGACCGATTGAATCTGCTTATATCCACCTTCACATTCACTGGGAAACATGCCACTTTCAAATATCTGAGTTACCCCTGTGTGATACATCAGCGATACATCATGCCACAAATTTGCTGTTAATGTGAAGACCCTTTCTTTCATCACTCTTTCAGTGATGTAACAGGCTATGGGTGCCCCATCCGTATCTACTGAGTTTATGCCACATAAAAAAACATAATGGTGAAACCACACCTAGCTGAGAGTTGTGGCGGCTTTATGCCCAGGCTTTATAAAACACCGGGCATCTCACCTTAAAGGACTGGTAAGGACTGGAGTTTGTTTGTTTGTGCTCCTCTGTCTGAAGCTGGGCCTGTTTCCAGGTTGAGTAATGCAGTCAGCTGATGTTAAGCTTTTAAATGGCTACTGGAAGAGTGGCCTTGGGAAAAGTGGCAGTTCAGTTGTACCTCTGCCACATGCAGTAGAAGTAGCTGATGGTTTCAAACTGGTAAGTACAAAAAGCCTTGAGGGCAGAGCTGGCGCAGAAGAGATGGATGTGCTGCTGTTTGGACTTACGGTCCGGCGCAGTGTGGAACTTTAGGTCTTTGCTGTGGGATAGGGATAGCCATGCTCACCCAGGAGAGGTGGAAGAACAGAGCTAAAGGGGAAGGAGCACGTACTGACTACTCAAAAATAAACTGGTAAACACAGTTTGGCCTGTAGATGGCGTTTCGCAGCTGGAGCTGCTCAACTGCTTCTAACCTAAAAAGTGCTGTCTCTCAGGCCTTGGATGAAACACCTGTGCAGTTACTCATCTCCCTGTGCATTCTGAAAGTAAATCCAGAAGGTGCTTTAGAAACGAGAGGCACTGGAAGTTCAGGTCTGCTGGACAAAAAGCAACATGGTATGTTCCCTCGTGTCTGGTTAATACAGCAAGAGTAAGCAAGATTTTTGCTTGTATAGGGTTAAGCAGTTTCTCAGAGCTGGGCATGGAAAGAAGCATTGCATCATGCTGAAGTTGGTTTTACTTGGTATTCGCTATGTAATTAGGTCAGCTCCCAGCATTTCTTCTGAGAAGCTGACTAGCTTCTGTTCTGCAAAACAGAAGTAAACACACGTTGTTGCTGTGGTGGAACTTGACATCACCATGCCTATAGCCCTGGCCACAACAGAGGAGGAACCTTGCTTTATCCATAGCTTCTTTCTATCCCTGATCAAGACTTCTCCTTTCAACTCTGCTTCTTAATCCAGTAAGCACTCATGCAAGTCCTGTCTTATGTATTCTATGCAAACAAATGAGACCTTTACAGATCTGCATTCCCCTGCTTGTAATTTTTTGCATGACTTCTCTTTGCAACTAGTATCTTACATGTGTCTTGTGCAAGCACGCAAGCAAGCAGGAAGCTACAAAGCAAAAATTGCTGTTGACAAAATTTCGTTCTAAATATCTAGGGTCACATCTGCCCCTCTTGTTTGTAATGTTCAACAGGAGCTGCTGGGACTTCAAGGGCTTTCCTAGGGTGCCCTTGTCAGATTTGTAATCTTTTTCACTTTGCTCTCCTGGCTTTTGCTGCAGCACCAAATTTTGCTGTCCTGAGATGGTTTTTGGTTTGACAAGCAATGGAAGAGATAAATGAAATCTTCAGTTTCTTTCCCTAGAGAAAAAGAAGAGGGAAAGGAAGACAAGGGCTTTCTCTAAATGGAGTGAAGTAACTAAAAACCCCACTTCTCATAGAGAGACTGTGAAAGGAATGTATGCACTGTAGGTGTGTTTCAGTCTAAGAAATGCCTTTCAGTCTTGCCATTGGAGTGCAGAGGAGGTCTTGTCCATATACACCTTGGTGCCAGAAAGGAAAAATAATGGCTTGGTTGCAATTATTCAGAAAAAGTAAGAGGAATATTTGGTGAGAAAGGACAGAAGCCATCTTGTATGTCCAGAGAGCATTGAGGCAAGTTTGTGTCAAGCTCAAGGTGGATATGTAGGAGGTTTTAGGTGGAGAACAGTGTTTACATCATGCAGGCGTACAGTTGCTCACTGTCTTCATTGTCTTCAGTGCACAGGGACCTACCATCCATCACAGTGCTCAAATTAACCCTTTTGTGGAACTGTGGTAGTGGCTCCTTTGGACTCTATAAACCCTTGCATACGTTGTTCGGATCTGCTGGTGTCAGTTATCTCAGAGCATCAGTATGAGTTTCCACAGCTTTTAGCCCTACAAAGCCAAACGTGACGTGGATGGGCTGTGCTCTGCTCCTGGAGAGAATTGTTTACCAAGTTTCGTTAATGCTTGTGCAAACTCTTTGGAAGTGCCAGGTCCACAGATGTATGTGATGGTGCAACTTGGCCCTTATTATTGGGGAAGGAAAGCTACTTGTTTGCCTTAGAGCCTGGGGGCAGCTTGCTGAGTTGGCGATGAGAAATAAATAGGCATCTCCCTGCTTGCAACAGAGCATGTTTGAGGGTGTTTCTGCTAGCAGATTGCACATATTGTTTTATTGTCTTAGCAGTACCATCAGGCTGGCTCTTTTGCCCAATGTTTACTGACAAGACAATATTATCTTAATTCTGAGAGCTCCTGACCTCCTTTGTAGATATATTTTCATGACTATGGGTGGTTTCCTGGTAAGATTGTTTTATTCTAGCCCTAAACAGTCAAGTATATATGATTCTGTTCTGCTACCTGCTATTAGGAAGGTGAGGTCTGGCATTTCAGAAGCACTTTGTAATGAGGCCTCATGAAAAACCAGTTTGTTTCCCTCGCAACAAATGGGTGTAGCGATTTTACACCCTTCTACTCATCGCAGCTCTGCTCAGTCTCTTGTGAGGCTTTGCTTTTCTGTAACCTTGGCGAAGGCCCAAAATATTGATGTGTTGGATGTCTTCCTTATATGTTCAGTACAAGATGGTTGCACTGGGGAAATTGCTACCCAAAAGACAGGAGATATTTATGTGGAGTTCAGTGCTCTGGAGTGGTGGGAACTCATTTTTCTGATGAGACTCAAATTCTAAATGTACTTTAACTGCTCAAATACAAACTAGACTGGTCAGAGAGTGGCAGAAGTCCACTGCTGTCAGCAGAATAACAAGAATTGCCCTGCTGCTCCATACAACCCCCTTTCTATAAAGCTGCCTGGATTTCAAAAGTTCAGCAGCTCCCTGCCTTGTAGATGCTGCTGTTTCTAAAGGTACACAAACTGCAGCTCTGCAAAGGAATGTGCTGTGGAGTTATGGCAACTAGTTTTAGGCTGGCTGTCTCTGGAAGTGGTAGGAGCATGGCCTGGGCAGCAGGGAGCTTAGGACAGGCTGATTTGTCCTACCTAAAAGAGTGCACAGTAGCTACATATTAGAGGCCAACCTGCCAGCCTGAGCTTCCTCATCGCTGGCTGTGGCTCTGGTATCCCCTTTGGGGCAGCTTCTGGGTTTCTTAGGGAAACAGAGAGCTCATCTGCTGGAGTGTTTACTGCCACTGTTCCTCTAAAAACAAGGACGGCTCACCTGCAAACTCAAAAAGCTCAATGTATCTTGTTGAAGCATCGTCTTCCTTAGTTTTTCTGTTTCCTGGTTGAATGTGTCCTTCATGCTTGCTACATTCTATCTTTGAAAAGTTCTGTACTATAGTCAAATCACTCCTATTTTTTTCATTGGTTTTTTTTTTTTTTTTCTTTCTTTCTTTCTTTTCTTTTAACCTATGCTGTCTGAGTTCTTTAAATCTTGCTGTTAGGCATTCTCTCCAGTCTATAAATGGTTTCTGTGTCTGCAGCTTCCTTGTGTGATGTAATTCTTATGCTTGCTGATTCCAAATGATCTGCTTTGTACTAAGGAATATAAAGAAGTAATATAAGCAGTGGTGAAATAAGCATTAAGCAGTCTTAACTGAGGAATCTTTGGGAGGTGCTTGTGCTTTTTTTGTAAAGGAGTTGCAGGGAGAATCCATTTCCTCATAAAATCAGATACTCTGGGCTGAAATTTACCTGTAGCTGTTACAGAAAAACCATGTTGCCTAACTGGAGATGGAAAAACAGTTCTTCTAACCTATTGCCTCCTCCCTTCCCTCCTGGAGGAACGTGTACCTCTGGAGAAGGTTGTTGAAACAGCAGTGCAAATCTCTCCTGTGTGGGGCTGCGCTGTCTCCAGCACAGCTGGATGGCAGCTTGACCACACCTTTGGCTCATGGTCTGAGGAGAGAGTCCAAATCTGCAGCAGGTTGGGGTGTTTCTAAGCCAGACCCCATGCATTTTAAACTTGTACAGATGAA